ACGCGAACAGTAGCAGATTCGCGAAGACGTCTTCATTCCGATACATTTTGGCATTGACCCACACCCAAACGAAGCTTGATTTGAGTTACCCATCCCCTCCGACACTGTTTTGACGTCGACCCACTCCTTACCCAAGAGGTTTTATGGTGAGATAGTAGGTAACAGATCAGCTAAACTCACGTTCGATGCAAACTAAGTGTTTCTAACAGGATTTCTTATCAAGTTTGGTTTGCTTTTGGATTTAGGAACCCTTCGGTGAACTTGGTAGCGCATTAGAACTTTGTAGCAAGTAGTTTCTTACTGGAGGGGTTGGTTGTTGTGTGCTGATATGATATGGTTGTTTGCTCGTGTGCCCATGTGTGATATTTGCATGTTGCTTGTCGTTGTTATCATTTAGCGAACGTCGTTGTTGATAAAACTATTGACATATCTTGGGAAAATTATGTGGTTGTGTGAATAAATTGTAGTCAAGTAATCTTGGATCACTATGATTGAATTGTTGTTATGTTCTAATTGGTTTTCATGATGAAACTTGTATACCGGCACTATAATCTGTTGTTTTGAAAGCATGTTGAATGTTGATGAGAAGTCGGTAGTGTTTGATGAATGCTGGGTATCTATGAACTATATTTTGGTTAAGTGGTTGATTGTGCTTTTTCTGTGAACGATGCCTGCTGGAGCCGTTGGATCATGTTGGACTATTTTAGATTGATTGGCTTTTACATATGATCATTTCGGTGTATCGCATATTGGACTGTTATGAGATTGTTGATGCATGAGGCATGGCGTAGTAGCAAGTAGGACTCTTATGAGAATTTTGGGACATAACAAAGTAAGTATCATGGGGGCGATTGTGTGCGTTGATGTGTGTTAATAGAAATTGGTCTTGCTGATTTTACATTATAAACATGTTTCTCTTATTATTTTAATTGTTGGACAGGTTTGTGAGGTCGATACTGTTATTGTAACTTGCAGTTATTTTATATATTGGATATGTATATGACTTGTATTCATGTTTGTTGCCTGCAACTTTAGGAACTTACTGATATTGTATGGTTGGTTGGAAGTTATTAGGATTTGTTATGTTGTGAAAAGCATGTTATGTGAAGAATGTCATAGGGTTGTTTGTTGAAGCTTTGTGTGCGCTATGCTGTGAGCAGGTTGGTTGTTGTCACACTTTGTGTTATTGAGACTCGTGATGCATTGAAATCTTACTAGTGGTTGTGTTGTTGTTGGGCTTTGTGGTGGTTGGTGTTATTAGGGAAGTAGTACGAAATCCTGGTTGGAGGCTAGAAATGATATGTGGAGTTATAAAAATTACGAAGCGAATGGGTGAGTGTCAGGGCCTCGGGTATAAATGGT